GTGACAGGGTAAGGTCTCAAAACACTTAAATATTAGAATACTGTCAAATTTCCAGCCTTCAGATAATGCTCTTGCAAGCTCAGCTACGCTTGCTCAAATTTGAGAGCAGAGCATCCAAAGCTGCTTTATGCCTAGTGCAAATATAGGCCAATAAATATTATGAGGACACATATGTAGCAAAACCCCCAGTCTGGTGGCTTTAATTCCCCAGCGTGGGAGACTGCAGCCAGACTGTCTGCTGTGGCAGGGATTAGGTGCTGATAACATCAAAGTCTGAGAGCAAAACCAGATTGGGGCTGCAGAGCACAGAGTGCCAGAGGGAAGGGTTGTTCTAAGTCAAGGAAACAACATCTGCCATACCTGTGGCTGTCCTGCACTAGAACCGCTGGCCTCATTTCTGACTGAGAGGATCTGCAAAAGCTGAATGCTTTGAGTTAATGACACTGTGGTCAGGACTCAGAATGAGTATACCAGACATTCAGTAGCATTACTGAAACCAGAATCTGGCCTGTTATTTCTAACAGAAGTTATCCAGGGGATGTGAAACGAGCTGTCCCAGCAGCTGCAGGCTCATGTTCTCTGGACAGTTCAGTTAACAGCGTCACAGTGACACAGTCTAACAGTGCTGCTCTTTGTGTCCCTGTGGACTGTGGTTCTCAGAGCCAACCACCTTCTAAAGAGACAAGAGGGCTCCCACATCCTGGGGACAGTGCTGAAGAACAGCTTCCTAACACAATTCAGCTTCCTAAAGCAGCTGAAATTAGAGGAACAAAACCAATCAACTCTAATAATTCATAGGTCAGTTGCTGGGAGACAATGGGGAAGGGAAGAGGACCTGCCACTTTTGGCAAGATGCTGATTTGTCCTCTGTCTAATGGGAAGCTGCAGCCTCAGACCTGCTCCTTAGACCAGGTGCTGCCTTCACTTCATACAAGTCTTTAGGATTTCCTCAAAATCCAAGACTACCAAAGTGCAGAACACATGTTGCCATAGTTGTCTCATATTACATGTACATACACATTCCTAATTCAATATATCTACATCTGAATCCTCTTATCCCATGCAGAATTAGGGAAGGGCTCCAAAATTTGCTCATGGAATGCAGCAGCCTGTGCATCACAGCAGGCTGTAGTCAAAGATGGTGATTAGTAGGTCACTTGTGCGTATGTGCTGCTGTCACAGCAAGGGCAGGCCAGGCTCGCTGTGCCAGCTGTGGCTCAGTAGCTCAGCTCTGTAGAACGTTCACTGAACTGATATTGAAGCTTCATGCACATTCACCCTTTTAGCCTCAGCTGAATCCTCCTGCTCTATCTGGCAGAGTTCCTGAGGCAGAAGATGCTCTGGGAAATGTTATTCTTCAGGGCAGGCAGTATTCAGCTGTTAATTTTTTATGTAATCAGAAAGCCTATGTCTTCTGTTTCTGTTTTACAAAAATATCCTTGTCTCAGACCTAAATTTATCTATGTTTTAAACCAGACTCAGTCACTGTTATGCAGTAGGTTTAATTCCCTACTCTTACGTGAAATTATTTCTGCTAGGAATGCTGAACTGAGCCACTGAGGTTAGAGACAGTGTTGCTTGTGCTAGAGAAATGAATCCCAGATCACATTAAGTTTCCTGCACTCTTATTTTGTGACCTGTGTCTTGTAAGCAATCTGCAAGCAACGCTGGAACTTCAGAAGTATTTCACCTGCTTGGCTTTCTTAGTTGAACAAACACAAGAGTATTTATAGGTGCTGACAGCAATGATGAGCTCACTTTGAATCACTCCTTTGTAAATGCTGGCAGTGTTTTTAATTCAGTGTACATCAGTGATAGACACAGTGTCTGAGTAGAGACACAGCCGCACCTTATGATCTTGGGACCAGACCCATGTGGCTACACCTGGATCTCATCCAGAGTTGCAGTAAAGCTCATAGAGATCTGCAGGGGACAATCTGGTGGCAGGCTGGGTGATTGGAACAGAGGTGGGCAGAGATGGACAGGCTACAACATTCTGCCATTCATTTTGTCATATGTTTGGGCAAATGCACATGTCTGGGTTTTAAGCCAGACTAAAGTTCCCACTCCATAGCATTCCCTGGGACTCAGGCTCAGTGGGCAGGAGACCACAGGAGGGCTATCCCAAGGACCTTGTGAGGATCCAGCCAGCCCTCCCCATCCCAGTTCCATACTAAAAAGTCAAATCCTCCATATCACACTCCCTTCAGTCTCTTGTTCTGAACCATTCCCAGGAGGTCCTTGCTAAACATCCAGCTCATGGCTGGAATTATCAGTGTGCAGCAAAACACACCCCTCAAGCAAGAAGTGTTTCTGAAAAGGCCTGACAGAACCAAGAAACCCTCCCAGTCACCTTCCATCTTTAGGTGGCAGTTCAATTCTTTCTTCTCATTTTTTGTTTTTAGTCCATTAAAGTTCTCATTCACCAACTGCTCTCTTAAATGTTTTTAATTAACAAAACTTAATTTTGGCTAATACTGGATTTTCTCAATCCAAGTAAACCAGCTTAAAATAAAAATAAGCTGAGGCTCTGGCAAACACATTCAGGTCATCCTTTCACCAGATAAATTGTGTATCTTTGGTAAGGCTAGTCCCAAAGACTGGATCACAGTGCATAATTTATTAAAAAATATTGGGGGAATTCCAGCATCTAGTATTAAGTGGGTAGTTGTAATTCCTGCAGGATAAAGAATGATAAAGAAACAAAATGCTTTAATCCTCTACAAATTTGTCTAACATTTAATCTAGCTACTAACCATATGATATTTCCTTTCTCAAGCAATCTTAATTGTTCTTAATTCTACTAATTAGGACTATGAGAGAGAAAGTGGAAATCATCAGCAATTAAATTCCTGTTTCTGTGTAAAGCCACAGCTCATACATGAGGTGCATATTCAGAGCTGTGCTGGAATCTCCACGTGGATCTCTGCTTTCACATTCACACAGAAGGTCAGAGCACAACCATCACACTGAGCACTCCCATAGCACCTTTCAGCCCAGCATCTCAAATCACAAAACAAAGACAAATGAATATTAATGAAGCCTTTAACAATCTGGAAGCAGAAGTCCCTTATGAGGCACAATAAAGCAGTAACCACCTTTACTGTCCAGTGATTCCTCTTGCTATAAACATCCACTCCATCTTCCCAGGCCCAGCTCCATCCAGCTGTTCCTCAGTTGGTTCCCTGTGTCAGTCAAGCCAAAGGGCTCAGGCAGAAGGTTGTGCCTGCGCCTGACAGGGAAAGGATGCACAGCTGCCTCTTGTCTGTGTCTTATTTTGGCTACACATTTGACATCTGAACCAGAGAAGCAGCAGCTTCATGGACAGTCTGCAGAGACAATCCAATGCCTTTATGAGACTCATCTGCTCTCAAGCAGCAGATCAACAAGTCCCTCTCATGTTCAGTCTTCTGTTTCAATCATTAGGCAGTACAGTTATCACTTAATTAAATTTTTCTCCCATGGTTCTCCCTAAAAATGATAATTAATTACTGCTTTGTAGCAACTGCTCTCAGTGATTGATGCTACTGATGCAGAATCTAGCTCATACTTTTAAGTGTGACCATAATACCGTGTTATGAACACTTAAAATAGAAAAAAAAATCCTGTTTTCTAAGCCAGTGCTGCACAGTGACTCCATTAGCAACAAGTATGTGCTGCTGCTGCTGCAGAGAGAAAAGCAGCTCTGGAAAATGTCTCTGGTTCAGCATTCTTCTAAATGTCCATGTACACAGCAACTCTCTTTGGAATTGAGAATAGATTTTTACATATATTTGAGTGTTAACCTGTCTTGGGGTTTAAGAAGGACTGTGAATTAAAAGTCATTTTGTTGGAGAATTCAGGAGTTTCTCCTTGCATAAATACAGGTATATGAAAGAAGATAATTGGGTCATAGACTGTCATTGTCTTCTGCCCCAAGGTTCAGAAGCTTAGGGTTGGAAATAAATCAGTCCTGAAAATGATCCCATTAGAATCATCACACAAGTCTTGATTCCCAAATGCTGCATGGAAATGTATGACTTTTTAGCTATTTTTTTGCCCTATTATACTGATTCCTCTTTGAAACCTGTAGAGGGAGTGCTCTCCATTTCAAATTATGATCGACTGTCTTTCTGCAAGGTAGTATCCATCTCAAACTGAAGTTATAAATTAGCTCTGGATATAATTGTGTGAAATGTTACACAGTGAGATACACAGAAAGTCAGAAGAGGTGACAAAAAGAGTCCCTTTTGGAATTAAAAATCTATTGGTCTCCCTGCAGTCTCCGTGTTGGGTCATTGCCTTCCTCTGTAGCTCAGCTGCAAGCAAAGATGAAGCCACTAGCCTCATTCAGGTTCTAAAGCCTCAGAACTGTATCAAAATAAAATTGAGCACTGTACAGCTCTAATCCCAATTCTTTTAATCAGGAATGAGATCCTCTTTTTGAAAAGCAAACTGTTCTTGACCAAACCACTGCAAAGTCTACATAACTTGCAATTTTAGCAATGAAAATGTACCAGGGGTACTACAGTCTATGAATTAGCATAGGAGTATTTAGAAGTGCCACAGTAGATTGATTACAGCACCCAGAGGTCTCAAGAATACATCTCTGACTGTCTTGAACAGCTCATTATCTAAGTAGGGAAGACAAAATATGGAATAGAAGAATGTTCATCCTCCCAATCAGCAGATGGGGAAGGGAATCATAGCAATTATGTCACCCCAGTCACAACATGGAGACTGTGGCAGAGCCAGAATCTGCAGCCAGAGCTCCTGGGTCTCACCCCAGGTGTTTGGAAGCAAGTCCCAGAACTTTAGTTCTGAGGAGTTGTCTCTGTTGAGCTGGGCTCAGCCAGGCACAGCTGTATGGCATGGTGGGAGAAAGTGGCATCCTCTGCATCTGCCCAGCCCTTGCTCTCCAGGAGGGCAAAGAACTGATTTATCATGGCAGACCCAACACACAGTAAAAATAAGTTTGTTTCAGTTCCATAGAAATTATTCTTCTATTTGTTCATTTTTAGGAACATGTTCCCAGCCAATCTTGTTGAGGCCACATTCAAGCAGGTAAGTGGCTATATTCCTTTTGCTGATGAAAGACATGAGCCAGCATCATATGAAACATATATCTTTGTAAAACATAACCCAGATACAGACATGGCATATGATTGCAGACACTGTTAGTACCTTCAGCAAGGAGCAATTTAGGAATTAATGAGTCCCATTCTATTAGCCTCAGCAGCCATGGTATCTGAAGGCAAAACAGAGATAACGTGGTCTCTAGTGTGACTAGAGAATAAATACCCACTCCTACGTCAGCTTCTCATTCACCTGAGGAGAGCTGGAATATATTTAAGAGCACCCTGCAACATCACACAATGGAAGAACAGAATACCATGTTCAATTAAATCAACAAAGTAATGTAGTGGGGAAGAAGCTAATTAATCAGGTTGGAATTTGGCAGGAAAAATTCATCTAAAAGTTCTGAGTTAGCAAGAGGCATGGCTGTATTTATTTCACCTGGGGGAATATTTCATGGGAACCTCACAAAGAGAAGGGCACTCAGAACCTCTAGGAAGTCATTCCTAATTATGTCTTACAGGAAAGTAGCTTTTTCAGGAGGCAAAGTGTTTGCTGCACCAGGATCTGATTATAGGAAAGTGTGGGTTTTTTATGGTTTTTTTTCCAAAAATTCAACTGTATTTACAGATTTTATCAGACAGGGAGAGGAGTTTTCATTCTCCTTTTCATGCCTGTCCCTTCAACGTGCAGCATTGTTGAAACAGAGCACTTAGGAGGTCTCATTAAACTATTAATTCCTGCTGGGATATTGTAATAAAAACTATTTTGTTTTCTTTCAGTATCGCACCAGGAGTATTCCCATCATTAAATCAAACAAAGCATCATCTGAAAGCACTACTCGTCGCATTATAATTTATGGAGTCCAGGATGAGAATGGATCCAATGTCCAGAATTTTGCCTTGGATATCACCCCCCCTCCTGAAGTGATTTACAAATCAGAGCCAGGCGCTAGTGATGGCATGAATGTACTTGGGATTGTGATATTCTCTGCCACGATGGGTAGGTTTCAGACATATTTGGTTTGTGACAATCCAAGTGTCTGTTCAAGAGAAAAGGATTGGGGTTGGGTTGCTTGGTTTCTTGACTCAGCTTTTTTAACTGCTTCTATCTAAACTTTGAGGGGGGGAAAGGCAAGACTGTTACAGAGCTGTTCCCCCACACTTTCAAAGACAAAAATTTTCAAAATCCTTGATGACTTTTGTTCCATGGAGTTGTGTTTTCTGTGCATTCACTTACAATCTTTTTCTTTTATTTTTTTCTCAATTATTTTTGGCTTTTATGACCCATCTGTAAGAGAACCTCGTACAGTGTGCTCAGAGGAGATAGGAATTACCACCAGATCAGACCCATGGCCCCTCTACCAGTATGCCAACCCATATTGTTTTATGAGTTTTTAATCTGTGGATATTCCTTTTTCGACTGAAACCTCTTGATTTATTTTTGGTGTCCTGCAATGAAGATAGTTATATACCACCTAGTAGCTTGTCAGAGTAAGAGTTTCTGTCTGGCTTATTTATTTAGTTTAACTTGCTGGAGGAACTCATTGGTGCCCTGAGTGTTATGTTTGTGGATTTGAAAGAAGAAATTTAAACAAACATTTCCTAGTTAATCATAAAGTTCTGATGACTTTTATAAGAAAATGCTGATCAAGTTTTCCGTATGTAGATTTATTCTTGGAAGTTAATCTGGTCAGCAAAGGTAGTTCCATAAAACATCTTTGACTGTATTTATTATGTTATGGTTCATACCAGCACAAGGGGTCAAGATTCAAACCTGGAATTAGTGGATTTGTCTCTGTTTTTTTAGCTTCTCCAGTGGGTGGTATTCCCTGTACAACCCTGCTGGAAACTGGCTGTCTCCCAGTTTGTAGTATTTTATAGTCCATTTCCAAAGTACAACATCAACGCAAACACTATTCCCCTCAAAACATACTGGATATGAATGAATTAATTACATTTACTTATTAGGACCAAGGGCACTTTTCTACTTCTGAGAACAGACCATTCATTGTCTGCCCAGAACTGAATGTGCAGCTTTTACAGAGCCCCTCAGACTTGCTGGCCCAGGGCTCAGGAGGTGGAAGTTGAGAGCTGGTTTCTTCCTGGCTGATGTACAAAAAGAGGATTGTCACCCACAGCATGGCTGCTGGGTCACCTCTGGCTGTATCAGCCACGAACAAACCTGAGACACCAAACCCTCAACAATTGTCATCACCAGGGACTATTTCAGGCTTTTGTTTTGAACAAGGATGAAAGGATGTAGCCAAGCATTTATTGCTGTCTTCAGTCTTCTGCACACCCACCCCCAACCCCAAAATATTGAAACAGCTTAATGAAAGAGTGTTATCTTCTGACCTAAAGTTTTGGCTTAGATGAATTCTAACAGGCTCACAAACTCACATCTAGAGAGCACTGCAATTGTGAAATCCCTGGATAAGGCACCTGAAAGCCTCCCTCCCTGCCTCAGCAGGGGACGTGGCTCTGAGCTGTGGGCTCCAAGGGACAGAGCTGCTTCTGCTCAAAGCAAGGACACTGCACATCAGAGCAAGTGGCAGCACACACCCCACTGCCAGCCCCTGCTTCCCCAGGCAGCTCCCCTCAACAGGCAAACTCCCTCGGTGCAGCCAGTTTTCAAAGTGCTTCTTTGAGCAATTGACTCGATCACTTATAATCCTTTCAGGGAGGATAATTAACTATAGGAAAATGTCATCTATTTATATGCATTAATGGAAACTAACACTGTCTGGAGAATATATGGTTAGATGACACATACCAGAGCTGTATTAATTTCCTTTCTGAGCAATGGGGCACATACACGGGTTATATTTGCTTTCTTCTTTACTGGTTAGTCTTTATAGCAATTTGGCCTTTCTTCCCATGAATTTGCATTTCCTTACTTCCCCAAAAACTGCAAAGCCTGTGTCCTGGGCTGATTATAAAGGTTAATTATGTAGACAGAAAGCTACTAAAAATATGAGAGACTTCATTACTAACTTCCCATTACCAGAGCAAACCTCAAAACCTGGCTTTGCCTCCCAAGTCCTCATTGGTGCTGCCAGTTGTAGGCAGAGACAGATTCCTTCACTAGAAAATGTTCCTCAGTTTGTCTTCCACAGATCACTCCGAGGAGGTAAATCCCTCACAGGGCTCTGTGACTGATGGTTAAGGACACAGCCTTGCTACCAGGGGGCTTTGAGTTTCAGCAGGGAGGGAAAGCACTGGGGCTGTGTGAATACACCTGAGAAACTGAACCTGAATGCTCTGATTGCAGGTATAATGTTGGGAAGAATGGGGAACAGCGGTGTCCCTTTGGTCAGCTTTTGCCAGTGTTTGAACGAATCTGTCATGAAGATAGTTGCAGTTGCTGTTTGGTAGGTAACCGTTTTACTAAGAAAATCAATATTTTTTAAAAATAGAAAGAACATTTCAACAGAAAAAGATGCACAGAAATCTCAAAAATTTGTTTCCAGGGAAATAAATCAGGATGAACAACCCTAAGTTTTGCAGGGCTTCAGCATTTGAGGATGCACAGACATCTGTCCCTGGTCTGTAGCATCCTTTTGACGAGGCACCCTCTATGTTACTCCCAAGTAACAGAACATGGTATAGCTGGGTGGGGTTCTGTACACCCCAAGGGCACTGCCAATGCCTGGGCATGCCGAGAGGGATCACAGCCACCCAGCCCACACAAGGGAGAAGCATGGTGGGATGCTCTAGCTGGTATTTTCATCCCTTCCAGCACTGCTGCAGACCCAGCTGGCCCTGCCAACACACCTGCCCCAAAGATCAGAGGAACAGCAGGTGCCAACAACAAGAGCTATCAGCTTAGCACCTTCTTCTCACTTCAGGATGTCCCCCAGTGTGGCTCAGCCTGACATGGGGCAGGGAACCAGCACTCAGCCTCTCTTTCCAGATACGTGGTCCAGTCTGACTGAGCTGGGTCAGGGAATGATTGCTTGGGTGGATATGTAAAAGGAGGTAGTTTATTTCTGGAAAAATGAAGAAGTAGTGTCAAGTCTCTGGAGATGGCACAGCTGCAAGTGGAAAATGGCTGGCTGCTCCCAGATTTTTTTTTAATCTAAAGCTTTTTGGCATCCATGACCTTGTACACAGCTGCACACAGAAGTACAACAGTTTTGATAAAGCACCTGTCCAGAGTGGATTCAGAAACTAACAATACTTCTGCCTATTTATCTGCCCCAAATTAAACCCCCAGGCAGTCCAAGAGCATATCTAATGCATGTTGGTGTTTCTCCTCTGTCTTCCAAAGGCAACACAAACGTTTACTTAAGAGCTTCCAACAAAAATCCATGAACAGCTACATGAGCACAAACACATGAGGGGAGCTTAGGATTCATTCCCTTCTTCACAGTAATTTACCTGCCTGAAGCTAAAAAGTCAGAGCTGCCTTCAGAACCAAAACATTTTAAAGGTGTTCCTTGCCATCACCATAATCTCAGCTGTGCTGAGAGGGACCCTCAGAACAGAAAAAAACTGTTCAGCCCAGTGTTCTGGGCATCCTCCTCTGTGTGGAGCCAGAAGAGCCAAACCCAGAGAGTGCTGGCATTGTACCACCACTGGAAGGAGCAGCCAGCTCTTACCGTGTGATGGAAGGGAGCTGTCTCCTAATAATGACTGTCTTTCTTTTTGCTCAGGTATTTTCCATTTGGAATTGTGTTCCTAATAGCTGGCAAAATCTTGGAAATGGATGACCCCTCGGCCATTGGGAAGAAGCTGGGTTTCTATGCCATTACGGTGGTGTGCGGCCTGGTGGTGCACGGGCTGTTTATTCTGCCAATGATGTATTTCTTCATCACTAAGAAGAATCCCATTGTCTTCATCAGAGGGATCCTTCAAGCCTTGCTCATTGCTCTGGCCACATCCTCCAGGTATTATAGAATTTCTAGACAGATCCAGTAAAATACTTGCTAGATCCTTACTACAGCTACCTCTTGGGAAGGGCACACTATTGGTGTAGCAGAGCAGATAGATCTGTATCTGAACAATGGTCTCTGTCCAATTCTGGTATAAGTTTCTAAAACGTGTGTATCAACATTGGAAGTTATGTGGGAGCCACTGGACAATAATATTTGTCACATTGTTTTCCCTTGGTTTAAAAAATATTGGACAAAACCATTTTTTAATAGAGGACTAGAAAGGAAATAGTTCTTTTTCCATATAAAAATTATTGTGCTTCTACAAAATTAATGTATATGAGGGCCATGCAGTTTGTCCAGACTTCAGTTTTGGTATTAGTGGGGAACCTCCTATTTCAGTCATGTGGAAACATTTTATCCTTTCCACTCATCTTAGTCTTTGTCTCTTGGTACATTAACAAAAGACTGTGGTTGAATGCTATTGTCCAGCACAGGGGAAGTATTTAAGTGTTGTGCTCAAGGAATAATATCTTTTGCAACCTTTTTAGGGAAGATGTACAATGAGTTTTAACCATAGCTGAACAAAGGTACAGTGAAAATGGGAACCAGCTTGTGAACAGGCTATGAAAATTACTCCCAACATGAATAAAATGGTGCATGAGATGTGCTTGAAAGGGCTAGAATTGCCTTGCATGGAGCAGATTAAAATAATGGCAATTAAAATAACATTTCTGTGTAGCCAATATGACAACGCAGTTTCATGGCATCTGTGGCTGAAGGAATGTAGAAGATTAAAAGAAAGGGGAGGAGGGAATTATTATTTCAATACAACAGGTATTGATTTCCACTGTGACATTTTACAAGGTATTTTCATACATAACAGTTTGCTCCAAAATGACCTATAAAGAGCAGCATGCTGAGAAACACAAAATCAAGAAAAATTACATGGCGGGTGGTGCTTAAACTCTAATTATACTTAAATAATTAAGGGAAGCTTTTTTATTAGAATGTAAAAAGTTTGTAGCTTGAGATGTCACCACATCCCCACATTCAGTAAGATGAGAATTTTACACTCAAAGATGTTAATGTTGGAAAAGGCTCATCAGGTTCACATTTGACACACTTGACTTCATCTGCCCTGCTTCTCTAGGAATTCTCTTTCCGAAAACTCTATTGCTGGCAACTCAGTTTTTAATCTGCACCATTCCTTTAATTCTCTCTTTTTTATTTCCTAGAAAGAGATGGCTTTCACTAAAAATCTGAGTATTTACCTTTTTAGAAATAAAAAATCCAACTTCTTCATGAGCATGTATACCTTTAACAATGGAGGTTTAATAAAGACTTACAAGATCAGACACTCCACCATTTCAAAATCATTACTTCTCTTAATTTTCCATATCATGCATCAGCATTGCATTTTAGGAGTCCTTTAATGGTCTGGAAACTGATGAGAGAGATGTGTCTGTTTCTGCTAAGCCTTTTTAAGGGAAACCTATTCTTGAGGGTTTTTTCAGCCCCATTTCCTCACCCTTTAAAAGCTGATATGAGTGCCCTCTGATAGTGGGAAATGCACAGGGAATTCAGCTTTCCCTTAAACCTGTGCTGGCTTTGGCTCTGACTCCCAGATAAGACCCTGCTTCTGGGGATATCAAGTGCTTTGAGACAGCACTTTCTCCCTTCAGCTGTGCAAGGAATAATTACCTATAGGACCAGAGAGGGTGTAGTTTGGGAACAGAGCTCTGGCACCAGTAGGACTTGCTACCAGATTTAGTATCTTTATTGACAGAAGCTAAAGTACCACCAGATTTAAGGTGGGTCCTGAGGGAAGGCTCTGAACATATAGATTTAGGCCTTGGACATTTTTGGATTTAGCTATTTGTCCCTCCCTAAGAGTGTGCATATTTTGCAAATCCAACGCAGGCCTAACAGGGTTTCTAATGTTTTTCTGCTCAAATCACAGGGTCTTGTCTAGAGATAGCTGAACTTTTCACCTTCATTACACTGAAAGGAATGGATACTGCACATAACTGAGCTCTTGCCAAAAGAACACGCACAAATAATTGGGGCTGGACAGGGAGCTGCCTCTCCTGACAGTCAACACATCTGTATTTGGTTAAATAAGACTTGCCACGGGGGCATTATATAACACTTGTCATGTGGGTATTGGATTTTCAGATCATCCTAGAAGAGAACAAAGAGTTGATTTTAAGAATACTGATGTGTTTCTTGGAGATGTTTCTGAGTTGGTTCAGGTCTACATCTAAATATAGAAAGAAAACCATGGGTCAGTGTGCTGATATTTGTTGCAGATACTCTGCACCTGTGGCAAGCTTGTTTTTAAAGCTGAAGATCAAACTACGAGAAGCAAAAACAATACCATTTACACAGCACAAGAATGTAACACAGGAAAACCTGAAAACCACTAAGCAGCCATCTGATGTCAAGGATTTTACTGAATCTCAACATTATTTATGCTCTTTTCCCTTTAGTGAAAGGTTCTGCACCCCATTCTCAGTCCCCTTGTACTTCTCCAGAAACCCCAAGCACAACAATATTTTGGTTTGCACCAATATCAGTGGAGAGGCAGAGGCAGAAAAACAGATCTTTTTCCTTTGGGAAACAATGAATGTGCACAGCTCCTCCTTCCTGCATCACTGTGTGGGGTGCAGAGCATGTGCTGCCCTTGCCGACCCTTCTCTGGGGTGTCCAGGCTACACAGTTGGGGATTTCTGATTCTGCTTTCTTCCCCTCACACTACCCCTGATCTTGTCACCTCTTACCACACTGAAAAAGCAGAATTTGGCCAGCAGGCAAAATTCTTCTTGATTTCAGCTTTCCACGTTCCAATGGCAAGAGGGAATTTTGTTTTTCTAGGTCATCTTTCCATATCATTAATGAATTAAAGCGGAATCTTTTCAGTGGTACATCCCATCAAAAGAAGCAATTTTCATCTTCTCTGAAGACAAATTATAAACCATGAGTTTTTCAAGGGTTTTGCTGCTTATGAAACATTAAGATCTTGGCTATTGCAGAGTGTAAATTAAATGAAGATTTAGAAAGGGGAGATGAGATCAGTTTGCTCATTTTTTGGAGCACATATCAAAATGCATTTGAATGATAAGATAAACAGAGCAGGCTGAACAGCTGTTCTTCCACAGTGACTGGCTGTCTTTGTGGCTCTCACTAGTAAGAGCTTGACCTGGGCCAGCATTAGCTTATGCTCAGTCTCTGCAGCTGCAGCATTTTATCCCAAAATTGAGATAAGACTCTGAAAATGTATTTTTAATTGTTAGAGTTAATGCTGGGAGAAGATACCTCTCAGCTGAAAGCTTTGGGTCAGTTTTTAAAATACTTTAAATATTAAGATCAGTGCTTTATTTTTTTTCTCCTAATAAATATTAAACATCAGGCTTTAATGTTACTGTTCCACTGTTTAACACTAGATAAAAGTAGTTTTTAAGAAAACAAACTTCACCTAGGTTAACTAGAAAGACAAACTAGACAAATTGTTTGATAATGTCTTTTATAATATTGAAATTATATATTAATATTACTCCAAAACTACAGTAGGACCATTTTTTTTTCCCCTTTTGCCTCCTGAGAGCCACCAATAGCCAAAGCCTTAAATAAGACATATTCTTCTGGTGTGTGCCAGATAATACAATATGAGTAAAAATTAAACCTTATTGGACAACCTCTTCTCAGATGTTCCACATAACTTTTGTCAGCTGTATTCAGGAAAAGTTCATTTCTATGAAACGGGTGCTGAAAGGGTAATCAGGGATGTAAAGCAGCAATCTTGTAAGTGAGGGGTTAAAAAGACTTATTGGGTCAATCCAGGCTGCGAGAGGACAAAGCTGATTTTTAACATTATGTGTCGCAACAGCTGACTGTGCAAGGAGAAATACAGAAAGCACATAAAAGCAAATTTAGACCACATTGAGAGGACTACCTCTAGACCATAAATTAAATTTCTCATCTGAGCAAAGTTCTGGAAAGTCTTTCAGCAGGAGTAGGTAGGACACACATCCCACTAACTCCAAGATGCAGTGTCATAAATTTGAGTGAAACAATAGTTGTAGTAGTTACCTAAGAAAGTACAAGAATCTGGAAATTTGTTTTCTTTCAATATCTTGCGTGTTTTTCATCATCATTGCACTTACATTCTGACCATTTTCTTTATTGTTAATATTTGTTATAATATAATGTTTGTTAATATTTAACAAACAACAAATCCAACGTGCTGTTATGTGCCTTAAAAATTTTACTTCAGTCAGCATACAATTCAAATGAAAGACACACCTAACTGTGAGATAGTGCACAAGTTTAAAAGTGAATTCTTGCAAAAACTATGCCACAAAATCTGTTTACAACAATGGAAATAGATACAGATTTTCCTGGTATCACGAGATTGTTTTGTACAGTATTTTTCACATCTCAACCAAATTGTAACATGTTAATCAGCTAAAATTTGCACTTTTGACAGCTCAGCTCTCTGCCCTCAGAACAGGCAGACACTTAGGTTTAATATTCTGGTATGTCAGAGTGTGGGCAAGGTGGTAAGATTACCTTTTGTCCTCATTTCCACCCAAAGGCATTAGACAGGGTTTTGTTACAGAAAAGCCAAATGTCTGAGGGAAGACTGTCTTTAAAATCAAGTAACCTTCCAAAACTGAGTAGCTGCAGAAAAGGGAGACAATGAGTTAAATAAGTTTTTTTGGCGAAGCCTCTAGTCAGAACATCTAAAACATCTGAGTCTGCTCCGAGTTGCAGCTACTCCCAGGGCTTTCAGTTCTGCATTATTTGTGAGCCACAGCCTCTTCTTTTATGAACATTTTATGGTAAACAAGAGGCAGAAAATTTCAGTCATTCACAAATGAAAAATGAGAGGTATGCCCAAGACAGAAATGACATCTCATGAGCAGCTTGGGGATTATGGGGTTATGCTTTGCTGTGTTTGTTTTTCAAAGTAAATACTGATTAAATACTAGGAGTGCCTGAATTAAAAAGTTTAATATACCCCAGTTACAGGAGGTAATCAGATTTCCATTGCTTTCTTGCCTTTCCAGCATATTCACATACTTAGAGAAAGATTCTGGTCTGGATTTTCAGGCAGTGACTGCCAGTTTGTAGTAAATCATTCAGCAGTCAGACTTCATAAAATTATAGAAAACAGAGATACTGAAAACACAGCCTTGTCTTTTTTCTTTTGTGTTCCCATGGCAGGAAGTTACTCTTCCTTTCCAAACACTGTTACTTTCCTCGAACAACAGCTTGCACAAATACAAAATGACAACTCCTACTCATGGAAACATTTTGCTTAGGCATTCCTGCAAACTTGGGGCTGTTATTTCAGAATTTTTGGAATCCCTCTGTGCTTTTATAGGACATTTGTAACAACTGAGAAAGACTTTGCAGATCCAATGTGTTATCTTCAGTTGAGAACAGCTAATGGTCATTATAAGGTTTAGGTATTGGGGCCAAATTGTGATGTGAGGGTCACTACATATGGTGACAGAGCAATCTGAACTGCAAACCAGAGGGAAGACACCTGGATTTCCTGTCTCTGGCCATGTAAATCACAGGACAATAGGATATTGAAGATCACAGTGTCACCATACCAAAATTTCCCCTATTACCATGTTTTTTAAGAGGTAACTTTGGAATAATATTGAAGAAGTTTGCTGTATTACATCTATTTGAATAGTCTCAGATAGTGAGCAGTGTATTAAAATTGGTATAATAACAAGGAAAATATTCTGTGATTTACATATTTTTTTCAGTGGTGTTACTTATTTTCCATACATACTGATGTGCCATAAAAAATATCCCCTCACTCACTTGAATGCAGTTTCATTACTCATGACATCAGTGAATAAGACACTGCATGGTAAAATGCTGAATGTTACCAAAAGGTAGATAAAATATACAAATAACTATATTTCAGTGTATTAGTACTTTAAAATGTGTGCCTCTTATTAAAAATGAGAAAATTTATGACCATATAGTGTTTTGTTAATTGTCTCAGTTAATAAAAACAAAAATCAGTATTTTTTTTTTAGGGTATCAAATTCAATTGAAAATGAATACAAGTCAACTGTTCTTATACCATTCCATTCTATTCCACACACATCTCATTTACACATGTACACTTATTATATGACCCGCAGTTATGTGGTTGTCATATGATCACACAAGGGATGTGGGCAGATCTGCCCCAGGGAGAAAATAGGATTTTATATTCCTAAACACAGACATTTTGTCTGCAACTTTTATTTTCAGGCTGCTGTTGATAAGATCTTTGTCTAACCCCTGCAGAAATAAAAAATTGTTTATATATGAGATACACCTGGAAGGAAACATTTTTAGAAACCATGACTGTAAAACAGTTTTCAGAGATTTTAGTCATCAGCTGCACAGGGTGTTGTTCCCTTTTCTTGCATTTGAGTGTACAGCAATACCTCTGTGGGATTTCTGTCCCTTTGCTTCTGAAACAGAGAAAAATATTCCTACCTTTGGGTAGCAAAATTAGCACTAACTCCACCATTTAGATGTGTAACTGTCTTTATCCTCCATCAAGCAAAGGAGTGAGTTACCTGGCAAGTGAGTCATGTGCAGAACAAGGAGCAAGAAGTTTGGATGGTTGTGTGAAACTTCCCCTGCCAGAACAAGGTTTGTTCCAATTCCTTCATTCCCCAGAAACAAAAATAACCCAATGTGTGCTTCTGTGCTGTTTTGCAGCTCAGCCACTCTGCCTATCACTTTCAAGTGCTTGCTGGAGAACAACCACGTGGACAGGAGGATCGCGCGGTTTGTGCTGCCCGTGGGAGCCACCATCAACATGGACGGGACGGCGCTGTACGAGGCCGTGGCTGCCATCTTCATCGCCCAAGTGAACAACTACGAGCTGGACTTTGGGCAGATCATTACCATAAGGTACAAACCACAGATTCCATGTGCTGGGGCTTGTTTGTCTGCATAGAATCATGGAATCAGCAGAATTGGAAGGGTTCCATCAGGGTCTTCATTTTGTTGAGTCTGTGGCACAACTCTTGCATGTAGCAAGAACAAAACTCATCTTTGCTGTTATCAAAGGATGCATCCCTCACAGAAGGGTTGTTTCCAAGTAACACAAAGATTGGGTACTGCTCAAAGAGAAATTGTAGTGGTCCTGTTCAACAGATGCATGTGGACACCAGGAAGTGTACTTCTGTTTGAGGATGACTGTCTAATTTTTGCTTTTAGGCAACCTATTGATCACTTCTAGAATTGGAATATTTTATTATTATTGGTGTTTAAGACACTGTTTTAAACTTCACAACTGTTCTCAACTTGAAATCTGATTTGTATCTTCAAGTGAAAGGAAAAGGTTAAAAAGTTGTAAAACTGAAGTCTTACATCAAGTAAGACGCAATAGTGTGTGCTGGGAAGCTCCTGCAGGATTCTGGGAAGAGGGAAGGAAGACAGATGCTACTATCAGGGCAGGTTTTCACAAAGATGTCAGAGCGCTCAGATGTTTTTTAATTATCTGCTCTGCTTCTTGTTAAAGCAGAAAGCTTCATAAACAACCATGCTCTCAGTGGGTAGAGAGTGTTATAGCTGTGTACTCCATCCTTGAAAGGTCTGTAATGGATCCAAAAGACTGGAAGATCCAGCCAAACAATTACTGCCAGAATAACTTCAGTGACTGCCAAAGAATTCCTCAGGGACTGAAACCTGCAGATTTCCAGCAGGGAACAAGTGATTATAAAAACACTCCTCATAGTTAGAGCTTTGTGCAATATATTTGAGATCTGCTTAACTACCCACCCACTGACCTCACCACTGCCCCGTTTACACTGCTGGTCCTTGCCCATCATCTGCTGGACCTGAAAACCTTCATGACAAGAAGAGGAGAGTCCTGAAACCAACCCCAGATGACAGCTGAGGTTTGCTAATGGGCTTCTGGCAAGACCTGGTTGGACTACAAATAGAAGAAATAAATTGTGCCCATATGAGCTCTTGCTTCAGGCTTGAACTCTCTTTGAAAACTGTTGGAACAAGCCTGTTTTAAAATTTAGTCTTTTGTGATTTGGAATTCCAAGATTTTTTAAGCATGTGATGCTAAAGTATGGTCCAGAGCATGAGCAGACATTACACACACTTTGAAGTAATTTTAAACAGTAATTTTAAAAATTAAACAGATGAAGTGTGATAGTAAATGGAAAGAATGTAATCTCTAACTTTTCCTTATCAGAACCCCCTTTCATCTCTTTTACCTCCCACACTAAGTGCTATACGTAAGGACCAGACAGAAGTAAAACAGTAGACTGAAAATACAAGTAAAGACTGGAATAAAATCCAAGAAAAGAAGAAAAATAAAAATATTCACAAATGCTAAACAGGCAATCATGGTGGACACAGTACCATCAATGATATAGTCCAAGTTTTAACTGTATACTACAGGCCAAACCTACCCCACACCTTGATACTTTAGGATCTGGAGATTTAAAATTCAAATAATTCTGAGTGACAGGATATTTTTGCCAGAGAGAAAAAAATGTTAGACAAATAATCAGTCTACTTTGCTCATAGTTTGTAAAATCCAGGTTAACAGTTTCTATCAATGCAAACATTGACATAGCAGAAAAAGAGAGCAGAGATCCTATTTCCATCAACTGATCATGTTACAGAAAGAAACATCTACATTAAGGTAAAGATGGAATGGAATAGCAGATGAGCTTGCTTGTAAAATCTTAGTTAAACATTCCTGGTTTTACTCCCAATTAAGTCCTGAGACTCTGTGGCCTGATGTAAGAGGCAGAAGCAGTCCTGGTCAGACAGCCAGTCCATAACACTAACTGGAAAGCCTTTTAATGTTCATTAAAGTTATCTCTTACTCAGCTACTGAGCTTCTGTCCATTCCTATCTATGCTCTAGTACAATGTTATTACAATGCTACACAAGTTAACTTTTGCAAAATGTAATTTTAGGTCTTTCTCCTTCCCTATCACGCCCACATGCTAATGGATATTTTATTTTAAAAAGGGGCTCTAGGTAGAAATACTGCTGCTGCTGTACTGGTACCCTGTACAGCTGTAAGCAAGGGACTGGATATCCCTGTGTTTCAGTTTCCATATGGGTGAATGCACTTATCCTCATTTTCCATAGTAGGTTAATGAGACTTAACTGCTTGCCAAAAGCTCTGACATTCTTGACTGATGAATGCAGAGGATTATCAGTGTAAATGCTTTCTGTCATCCTTTTACAACTGTCAACATTTGTTGTCTTTCTGCTGGATGGCCTAGCTCTTGGAAGTCACTAGTTGGGTGGAAATGAATATATTCAGTCACTTTTGCTGCTGGAAAATGGAATTAAATCCCTCCCTCAAAAATAACACTATGAAAAAAATGTTCAGCCTGCCAGGTCTACTCTTGCCCTGGTCTCCCATTCATTTCTGCTTGCCTGGCTGAAAAAATGGTATGGAGGTCAAGTAAAAATACTTTCCAGAAACTGAACGTGTACAGTCACATTCATGCTTGCTTCCTATTTAGATCCAAGTATGCAAAGCCATGGGCTGTGCAAGGGCTTCACCCCTGGCCCAGCCTCTTTACCCTTGGCCTAACCCTTGAGATGGATTGACAGTAAAGGCCCCAGGCAGGGCCAGACACAGACTTGCCTGGCACAGGAGCTGCCCATGGTGACCCAGAGGGCAATGAGTGGGGCTGGCAGACTCCTGGCACACAGAGCTGGGTGGTGCCATGACCCATGAGAAGCTGGCAGAACTCAGCCCACAGCCTGACTGGCCCCTATGCGAGAACAGAACTGCCCCACCAGTGCCAAGGCTGCAAAGGCTGAGGATGAGAATTTAGCCCTGGGCAGACAGTTTGGCCTGTTCTTGCTGTCTCACCTGGATTCTGTCCACAAAACACTGGCACTTCCATGTAGCGGCTTGTGTAAGAGCATGGTTAGAGACATGGTGTGGTTTCTTCCAGAAAGTAAAGTTTATTCCTTTCTTTCTTGTTAAAGTATCACAGCAACAGCTGCCAGCATAGGTGCTGCAGGCATTCCACAAGCTGGCCTGGTGACAATGGTCATTGTTCTCACCTCGGTGGGGCTCCCAACAGACGACATCACGCTGATTATTGCTGTCGACTGGGCACTGTAAGTAACACAAAGCTCTTGAGGCTTCCATGGTAGCAACTTTGCTAAAAAGGCAAATGGTCTCCAGGGGTACAGTAATACAGATAAATATATATATATAAATGGCAAAGAAAGTGATTATGTAATTTGAAATGGTGTTGATGTGGCCTTAGACTAAAAACTCTGCTGATGTGAACATTCTATAGAAAAAGACAGACAAATGAGGGAGTCTAGATATATGTCTTGCATGAAAAGGCTGAAGAAGTAGATTCTGTTTAGTCTAAAACCACAGCTGGAAAGGTCACCACAGCAGTTTTTTACATAGATAAGATTGTCCAGAAGAGGTTGTTGTTCAATCTTCACATTCACAGGGAAGAAGGATGAAGAAATAGAAAGAAGTACCTACCTCAACTCTGATCCCAAAAAAATTTAAGAACTACTTTTCTATAGAAGGATAGTTGGGCAATGGAAATGGCTGTACCTAGCCAGGCTGGACAATGATCTTCAAGACAAATTTGAAGGCTGGGCCAGACAAATGTGCTTAAGGGGCAACTCGGGCACCTTGCCTTGGGCAAGGATAACGGGCCAACATTCCTAGGAAACATGGTTTGCCTGCACTCTACTTGTCAGCCCGCTGACACTTCGAGGCCATCATCTCAGTGTAGTGAAGCACTCTGCAAGAGGCCTGAGCCACTGCTAAAGCCAGCAGGTAGCACTGGCACCACTGGCACCCCCTGTGCCCACAAGAGCCATGACAGCACGGGGATGGTGTGGGCTGTGTCTGGCTACAGCTGCTGACACCCCAGTGCAGTCAGCCTGAGTGCTGGCTCCAGTAATGTGCTCCTTTCACAGCGGATCCTGATGCAATTCTGTGCTCTCTGAAGTCAGTGCTAAATAGGCAGCAGCTGCTTGCAGCCCCAAATTTTGCAAGTGCAGCCAGTCTGTAGGGAGGAAACTTTGCTGCATGCCCAGTCACGGGGGTTTTAACAGCACAGGCAGAGGCTGAAACAACACATTTGGGATGAAAGGGGTTTGTGTCACCCATAAGAAGATTAATTTTCAAAATTAATAAGGAGTGGTTTATTTGAACTCTCAACTTTTATGTAAATGCTGATGAATCAATCAATTTTGAATAGTCTAGGAAGATGAATCATAAAATACTGGTCCCTAGCTCATTAGTGTGTAAATTAACTGTGTAACTAGCATATGCATACACAAGGAAATGTCCAAATTATTTTTATTTAAGCTATATAAAACGTATCTCCTTCAATACAGGTAATCATGTAAATTTACCTGATGTAAATCATTACATCAGGTAAAAATGTGTTACAAGTCCATTCTGTTATATATCCTCTTTTATTCAACTTTTAGCCACCTATTTTTTTGTACGAAGAATTGTGAGAAAAAATATTTCTTGTCCACTGTAATAGATTTTTATTATTAGCATTAATAGGAGTAATGAATTTTGAATTGTATGAATATTTTAAGACTATATTACAAAAGCCTTTTCCCTCTGTATCGCTCAGTTTTTGCCCAGCTCTTGCAACATCAACATTTCATTGTTTTTCCAGTAAACTTTCCAGTGTACATGGGAATTATTCTTCTTTTTGTCTTACACAACTTTTCAAAACATCAGAGAAAAGACTTTTCAGGCTATAGTTCCAGATGGTATTAAAAAGTGAGTAAGGAATAGACCAAATTTTCTGTCTTTTGCAGATGACCTTTCAAACAAAAAGCATATTTCTCTATTTCGGCACTTGGTGATTTCAAGAGCCTGCAGATGCAAAGTGTCAACATGTTTGACACAATGAATATTTTCAGTATTAGTTTTGGAAGTACTGGAGCATGAAGAATGCTTAAAGAAGGCTGGTTAGATGATCTCACGAGACTGAAATACCCATTAAAATGCACTGCAGGTATTACAACTCTCTTAGGTAGCCATAATGTGTATGTGACCTTCATACCTTTAGCTAGTGCTTAGAGACATAAAGAAGAAAATCAAAATGTTTCCCAGCTCATCTATCAAACCCAAGGTAAAAGTTTTGCATCTTTCATAATATCTACAGCTCAAATACCACTGACACACACATTTGCACTGAGAAAAACACCACCAGCAGCAGGTTGGCATCTCAGTGGAGAAATGTCAGTGGTGTGTGTTGTGGTTCTCCTCAAGCATAGTGCAGACTGCTCCAGACACTCAGGACATGGAACACGAGTGGTCAAACAACGTGCCAGGCAGTCCCTTTTCTTAAGAGTTTCAGTGTGGAGCACTGTTTTCTTGGAAAAAGGGAGCTCAAACTCTTGAACTCTGCTCATACAACTTCTTCTTTACCACAGCTGACTTGTTGCACAATCCAAAATTCACAACACTGAATATCTTTCCAAGAATCACTATTTGATAATCAAGAAGGAAAGAAGTCATTGTGTAAAGGAACTTTTATCAGTATGTGCTCTAACTGCTTTTTTCCCCTGTTTAACACGTTCTTGTGGAAATTTTCTTCAAGGCAAAACCCAAAATCAGAACAGCAGGAATTAAAAAAAAATGGATTGAGCAAACATGTGGAGGATTAGGTCCTGGAGTCAACAACCACATCTACGTGTAGGCTATGGAATATTATTGCTGAAGTTACTCACAGTTGTACATACAATTTGAGTAACTCCACACACAAAAAAACTTTTATGCAGCAATTTTCATGGTAACTAAGCAGACAACTGCATAAACATTTATATGCACTGAGTACCTGCCTAAAATATCTGAAAAAAAAAATCAGCACAGTTTCGGTTCTTTTCTATATTAAGATACAGGATCAGAAATCTGGGCAGTGTTGATATTGGACCATCCCTGACTTTAATAAGCCAAACATCTGGAGATTTCTGAACCTCCATTTTATAACTTACATTTATAAATTAAGTTAATAATAATAATAAATTAATAATAATATTTAAAAATAACAATAAATATATAATATAAATATATAAATATATAAAAATAATAATTCAAAATAATAATAAATTAATAATTCAGATGTATATGTTTTTCTTGGAAAAGATGTGATGTATTTCAAACTTAGAAGCTATATCATCTATTTGAAATCTCATCAATTTTATCTAATAGGTTCCAGGATGATTCAAGTGTAACACTTGTCTCTGACAGCCAGTTACTTTTGTCTATTTACAGTCTATATTTTAATAGATTTATTTTTTAGACAGTGGGGAAAAAGGTGTAAACAGGGAAGAAATTCCATAAGTGAATAAATGAAAAACAGTTAAAACTATATAGATACAAAATACTGTCAAACATAGGAATTTAAACTGGTAAAGGTAATTGAAAATGAAGAGTCTTTAAGAGTTACTGCATAGCCAACATAAGAGCCAAAGTCACCACAAGTTTAATAGGAATGAACACTACTTAAATATGGTCAGTGACTGTTTAGTTTGTGGGTGTAGTTACATAGCAATCTTCTGAATTATTTTGATTGTATCCTGCCCATTCTACCAATACAATAATCAAAGTAGCACTTTGATTGCTGAGATTGGTACCACAATCACTTATATAAGGAAATGGTTGCACTGACCTCTGTTTTTATTGAATTCAGACATTTGCAGCACCAGTCTCCAAATGAGGCCATATTGCTGGACCTTAACATATAAACTGGGACAGAAATGCAGGTGTAATGTTCCAGCTTTTCAGTGCTGAATCAGCTTACATCTCTAAGAGGACACAGCTACACAATTAAGTGTCTGGCAGCACAGCACACCAAGCTCTGGAAAGGCTGGAAAACTCAATTGAGCTGCTCAATAACTAATGGATGCTGATACCAAACTTCTTAACGTTCCTTAACATTTTAGGTCATAAAACCAGCAAAACTGGCCTTCAGCCATAATTATGGCTGATGGAGGCACAGGAATTCACCCAAAGAGCCAACAACTTACTATTATTGTTTCATTTTCCAGAGACAGGTTTAGAACAATGATCAATGTCCTGGGGGACGCGCTGGCTGCTGGGATCATGGCCCACATCTGCCGGAAGGAGTTCATCAAGGATGGTGATGAGGTAATCACACTGTGAGCCGGGGTGTGCCAGGGTGTGCTGGACTATGGCAAAGAACTTGCGAGCTCCCACATTTGGTTCCTCCAGTTTATAAAAGCTGTTTCAGAGAGAGGACAGAACTGGGCAATGGGCAGCTTAGCACATGGGGTGGAGGGATCTTTTTCCATGAGGTCATGTGAAAAGCCACTGGAGTGCAGAGTTTGCAAGGCAGCTGTGTCTGGCACTCTGGGGATGGGAGCAGCAGAAGCAGCTGCACTATCTCACAAATGCATGAGATGCTGGAACTGTGAGTCCCACACTCAGCACCCAGGTCCTGACTGGCCAGTAATTTGTCCTCTTAGAAATGTGACCAGCAACAGAGCAGGGTGACAGATGTCCTTGAGTACCTGTGTGTAGGGGGAGGTAAAGGTTTCTATGAGTGTGTATATGCATAATCAACGAGCTCACATCAAAAGCAACTACCCTGGGCATTGCAAGGCTCTGAGTCAGCATAATCTGAAGCCACCCTTGCAATAATTTTCTTTCCAGACTAGCACAAGCACAACTCCATTCCAGACTTCATTCTCAGACATCATGCTTTCTACATTTAATACAAGTCCTTCCTTACATCTTTGTTTTTCCTCCTCTGTATCTTATTTCATACAGCACACGTACCTCTGTATTCCGCTCCTGCCTCCTTCCACTCCTATGCATTTTCTCCTTCCTCTTTGGCATGCATCATTCAGTCTTTCCTTGTAACAGGAACTCCCGATGTCCTTCCTTCCATCCTTGACAAAGGAGATTCCTAATTCTATGAGCCCATCAAATTTGGAGGTACTGATCTCCAACCATTTCAACTCATGGCAGACTTCCATTACCTTTCTTACACACAGTTCATGCAGGAACATTTCTTCATCAGGACCAATCTTCACAAGACGTGTTTCATTTCTGTGCATCATCTGTAGTATTCTACTACTAGCAATAGCAAATAGCTAAATAGCAAAGTTTTGTTTCTACCATTATTTCTCTCATTCTACAATTTTGTGGTCAATCCCATTCTCATGCCTTCCTGCAACATTTATTTAAAATTCCTGCTCTTTCAAGTTGTATGTAGAAAGGCAGTGCCCTCTGAGGTAATTAGCACCTGCAGTAATTCCTGATGACAGGATTAGGCCTGACTACAAGGGGCTACACATGCAGCTCCCTACAAACCCCCTAAAATACAACCTATGGATAAGGTAGGTCATCCATTACAAAGCCAGAAGTGTAGGCTGAGCTCCTGCATAACACAGGCCTCCTGACATTTCACTGCTGTATTCAGAACTCAGTCAGAACTTAAGAAGAGATGTTGCAGTAATATAAAATCCCTCCTGAGGGATTATTTAGTCATCTGTGATGAGATTTTTCTTTGAATCATGCTCTGTAATGGTATTAAAATTTACTGCTAGTCTGCCATACATTTTGGCTGCATAATTTCTGCAGTTAGTAATGTATACCCAAAGGCCATATTTTCTCAGCTGCAAGCCCACCTCCTTTCTCTGCCAGTATTTACGTCTTACTTTCCCCATCAGAATCTGGTTTGATTTAAAGAACACTTCAATATTTAATTTATGAATCAGTTAATAAAATCCCCTTTATTTCTTTCAAAACAGCAAACTGAAGAGACAGGTGTTATTTTACTGGGTTAGAAGAAAGGCATAAGGCAACAACAAGTGGCTTATTGGTCTATTTAATTTAACCCAAGAGCAAGCACTGCCCAGAACTCAGCACAGTGGTCATTGAGAGTCTGTACTTTTTGAAGTGAGCTGTGGAATTCTCATCCCTGTTTACCCTACTTGTATCACCTTCCCAATGGCAAGCAGCTGTTACCATAGGTGTGAGTTAGAGTTGTGACAGAATTTGCATTTTTACACAGACTCCTTCGCTTCATGCAGATGGTGCAAAGATTCCTTAGTGTATATGAGAAACAGCTTCTGGAAGTCTATGGAGGCTCTAGATAATCCTGGTGAATGTAAAGCAGCCCACAGGCTTTCCAAGTAAAAATTCCCTTCCTATTGTATACAGCAATCAGTGGCAGTATTCCAGATCTTAATGCTTTTCACATAGGTGCCATTGATCTGTGAAACTAAGCCTATTAACATCCATCAGATTGTGGCTTACCAGAGAAATGGCTGTGTGAAGACCATGAATGAATCTCGTGGACCAGAAACAGTGAAAGGGTTGCAGCACCATATACCCATACAAGTGGAGCAAGAAGAAACTCCAGTGGAGAATCACACTAAGAAATCCAACAGTAAAGACCACTGCACTATTGAAATAAATGAACTAGAAACAAATGTGTGACTGCTACACTCAGAGGTATCTCAGACCCCAGTGACCTGATACCCAATCTCTACCTCACAGCTGGAAGAAGGACTCTTTTGCCTTGAACAGGAAACCGTGGGCTTATTGCCACCCTGCTTGTACTGGAGCTAGGAGACCAGCTGTGAATGTCAAGAAAGGCACACAGCTTGCAAGAGACATGGGCTTCTTTAGGAGGAAGATTTTACTACTGAAAAATTAACTAATGGACTACTACTGTTTTATTCTGCACTCACTGACTTCAATACAGTATTTGTCACTCCTTTGGCTTCTTTTTTTTTAAAAGCTTTTTTTTATTTGACTCTTTTTGATTTTCTAACCAAAGCCTTTTTTTTGTGAATCTCAGTATTATGAACACTGTAGAATTTTTGTTATGTGAAAATGTTTCACCAAAATTGCTAAAGATACTAATTTTGTCTAATATTCGCTAAATACAGAGTTTGTGCTTAGTTTTAGAACAGCAGTAAGAAAATCACACTGGTTTCCTGATCTCAAGGGGTTACATCTATTCCTAAACAACAATGCAAGCAGAGGGCAAGTGAAATGTCTATTTGTGCCAGAAAGGGCGTTAATTGTGATGGGCAGCCTTCAGAGACAGGCAGTCAAGTGTGATTTCACAAAGATTTCCTAGGTCACTGCAGAGCACAGTTTGCCTTCCAAGTGCCAGATTTATTAACCTTTTTTTAACCTAACCCTTCAGTAAAGTCAGTTACATGCACATGCAGTGGCAGAGGTGATGTGAGCTCTAATCCATAAGCACTGGTGCTAATGTGTCCTCTCCTGTAACCTATAGGTTGTTCTACTGTAAACATGTTTAAACTCAAAGCTCAAGCTCATGAACCATGTGCTGCATCTGAAGGGCAGACTGAACACAAACTGCAAACCGAGGATGCTGAGTTAAAATGGGGTTTTGTGAGGAGTTTGCTGTGGAAACTGCCCCATTATTTCTCATAATTCAGTTGACAGTTACTCCCTTTCCACTGTCTGCTGAATCTTTCACTTACAGTAAAATCTGCTGCATATGTTTCCAATGTTTGTGATAGAGAACATTTTTAATAAACCTGCCATTTGAAAACAGGCTGTCTGTGCACTTCTATTAGTGTCTTCTTATGTCTCTACTAAAATAGAGAGTGGAAGTGAGGAGACCTTTTGAAAAGTTGGGATTTGATCCAGAGATTACATACCAGCTCATACCAATACACTTGACATATTATATTTAGCTACTTGTGGCATAGCAGCTTGAGATACCATGTGCCTGGTATTCTGATATGCTCTTCTCATCTGTAGGGAAAAAATAACCCAGACAAAAAGGAAAAAATCTTCATTAACCAGAAGCAGAAATGTTTCATGCATTAATTCATTGCAGATTCAGTGTATCATTCATTCATGATTAATGGTTTTCCCGGGATGTACACGTTCACCTCTTCTTTAAGGGCTCCTGTTCAGACTATTTCTTACGTCATGCACCAAATAGTTGCCTCAGAGCACTGTAGTATATCTACTTTAATTATCAAGCAGTAAAGCCAGAAAGAACACACATTGGTTTTCGTTTTCTGTAGTTCCTCAGAAATTATATATAAATTTGAAAATATGTAGAGTTGGTAACTGTTTTCCTGATTTTATTCTGGAGTGAAAACAACTTAGAACACAAATAGAGGAGAACTGAAATGATTCAGAGCGATTTTCTCCAGAATAAGTCCTGTAAAGGACCTGCTCTGCAGAGTGTCTTAAGAATGAGTGACTGGGGAGAGCTGAGGCTGGTCTGTGCCTCTCTGAATGGGCAGAAGCACTGACTGGCAAACACAACATCTGACACTTTTCATCTCAGCAGCACTAGCAATTCCAGGAGGTCCCACTCATCCTTCCCCAGCTGTCCCTTCCTGCCTGCACAGCCTCCCCTCCTCTCCCAGCTGTACAGACCCAGTTATTTATGAGGCCAGACAAAGAACCAGATGAGAAGTATTTTTAATTCAAACCAGTTCACATATGTTTGTATCAGAGTCCTAACAGACAGTTGTGTCAACACAAGTGACGGGGTGACGCAGGGACAGCACCAAGCAGCCAGGGATGAAACAGGGTAAGGGCACATGAACAGGGCAGGGTCTCTGTGTGCCAACTGTGCCCACAAAGAAAACACAACCGAAAGTTTCAACTTCACCCAGTCAATTACAGCTACATGAAGTGTTAGTATAATCCCGCCAGTCATCTCTCAGTTTAAAATCACCTTGCACAGATAAAAATGATGGAGAAAGAGGCCAAGTGGATCCAAGATTTGGAACAAGTAGTTCCAGATTAAGTGATTTTGGAGAGTCTGCCCACACATCATGCCACTGTGCCAAGCAGAAAGTGCTCCCAGCCTTACCACCACCTTCTTCCCCAGCCACCTACAACCTTTGGCTAACTACAAGTGCAAATCCTTTTGCCCCTTGCCTGAGACAGCTTACTTGGTGTGACACTCTTCAGTGTAGTCATGGCTCAAGAGGTCTGGCTCATGGCCTAAGCAGATTCTACAAGGAGAACTTCAAATGAGATAAAGCACCCAAGACCAGCAGTCAGTTGTGCTGCTCAAGTCCTACACAAGAAAGAAAATCACAACTTTTCCCATTATGCTCTCACATGTAGGTAATGTGGGAGTCTCACGTGTGAAGACATACTTTTATGGAATCAACAGGCTGGTTTAAAATCAACTGTCTGTATTCAAACACTATTCAAAGAGTGTCCAGTTCTGCTTTGCAAATTGGAAATGCATTATGGTTTTTACATTGTAGTGTTTGGATCTTTAAAACTTGGGGTTTACAGCAGTCTGTGACTCCCATTCAGCTGAGAGGAAAGCAGTGGTCCTGTTTCTTACCTGGCCTTTTTAATTTGTGATATGAAATGCTGGAACTAGACGCCTAAGGCACTTTGGGTCTTGGTTCTGGTAAATATGTGTTGCTTAGTGTATTGTGTCCTTGACTGGAGCACCTGACTGCTACTGCAGTCATTCTGAACTGTTCATGTACTGAACACAAGACACCATTAGCCGGGAGAGGTGAACACTGATGTTATGGTAATTTCTGATAATTTCTATGGTAAGTTTTCCTCCATTTAGCTATTTTCTGTGTCTTGTGGTGTGTGTTGTCAAGCAGCTTGATGCACAGTGCAATTAGACTAGCACAGGTTCCATAACATATTTGTATGCATGGATCTGTTCACATTTTCCAGTTATAATCACACTTCCTTCCAACAAAAATAACAAAGCTGTTGATTATCAAGTTAGAGTGCAAGCTTTGTGTTGGTAAATATGTTTCTCCTACTTTCAGAGCACAAAAACAAACATGTGACCTTTACAATCTCAAAAAAATTATATTAAAAAAAATCAATCAATCGACCAGTCAATCACTTATTACAACAGTTTGCATGACATAATTTCAAGCATATGTGGAAAGAACGTATTTCTTAACTTACAACATTCAATCCTGTTTTAAAGTTGCCTCCCCCTGCTAAACAGAAAGGGAATGTAGCCAATTAAAGTATTCTAAAGGCACACTGGGGAATAGTCTTGAGGAGGGAAAGAAGGAGAATTAAGAAGGGTTGTGCATTGCATACAGCTATAGAAGAAAGAGTTTGGGAAGTAACCCAAATTAGCACACACTTATCAGAGGCAGTGGTTTTATGCTTGCTAATTTGCAATTCCTTTGCTCTGATGATACTACTGAGATGAAAGAAGCCACTGCAGCTTCTGTGCATAAACACAGCACTGTGGCATAAACAATATAAATTAAAGACATATTAAAACAGGTTCTTGAGGATTTTGCCAGTGCCAAGGAAGTTCTGCAGTGTTGAATTGCTGTAATAAACCCTTGTGCAACATTTAGAACTGAGAGAAAGAGACACAACCAGAGCACTTACACATCCCCCTAACTCCCAAGAGCTTTTGGCTGCCAACACAAATACAAAAGTTTATGGAACTAATACATTTACTCATATGCCCTGCTAGTCTTAATTGACTCCACTTAAATTATTTAATTGCAGCTAAGTTTCTTTGTGCCACCTGAATACAAATCCTAACATACAAATAAGATGATCTAAATAGTCAAAGCATTAAACTGGAGTTGCTCAACCTGCTAGACCAGCAATTCTATGGCACTTAGAAAAGATGGGAACTCTGTAGCCCCCCCATTTGATGAGGTCTCGCTTAAATTCTACAATAAACATCAATTTTAGTCCCCTTTTAACAACAGCAAACTGATTTATAACACTTTCAAAGCAGACAGAAAGCTTCATCTTCAAGCCAGATGGATAGTCTTGGAAATGACCTCAGTCCTTTCTGTGCTTTCCATAAAAATGAGGTAACTATTAGCAGAAGGTGGTTGATGTGTGCGAGCAAAATGTGTAACCTGGGAAATGAAGCAAATGTGGAAAGCTCAGGCTGCCTTTGATCTTGCCCAACACTAAGCACCCCCGTGTCTGTTCCTCTTCTGAGTGCACAGGTGTGTTTCTCCAGCAAGAGCAGCTCTGTCACTACAGACACAGAGGCAATGAGCAATTGATGGCTTTCCCCTGCAGGCACTAAAGCTGGCTGAGATCACAGCCTCCCAGCTGAGAACTAAATACAGGGAGGAGAGAAAGTAATGAAGGTTATTCTATAGGGATGCTACTGTTGCCTACCTTGCAGTGGGAGAGCACAGTTTTTTGCAGTAATAAATACCTGGCTTTACTGCATTTGGAAAAGGGGCCCCAGAATAGACAAATTAAATGCACCTATTCACTAAGGGCTGAGCTAAAAATGAAACACATGTATTAAAATTCTCAGTTCAGCCTGTAATTTCACCTACAACTGAGATGAGAGACACTCAAAATTACATTCCTCACTAACTACTCTGGAGCATACTGATTGATATTCCTGGAATTTGTAAGAGGGTTTGTTCCAGAAAACCTCAAATGGATTAGATCAATAGAACAGGAAGGGTGGTCACTACTTAAGGACAGGTTCGTTATTC